TCCCTTCCCTTCCCTCCTGTGAAGGATTAAAATTAAGGCCTCTGTTTTGCACTCTAACACTTAAGCTGCATCCCCATCCTTTCATCTTCAGTTTGCTTTTCAGATAGGACCTCCCATTAACTTTCACCAGGCTGGCCTTGAACTGTGATCTTCTCACTTCCCCCTCCCGAGCAGCTGGGAACACAGGCATGTGCTGTTGTGCCTAAATGTTTTTGAGACATGGCCTTTCTAGCTTTTGCCTGTCTTAGCCTCAAACTATGATCTTTGTCTCCTCCTCCTGAGTATCTGGGATGATAATTGTATAGAACCATACCTCTCATCCACCTCTTTTTTTTTGGCAGGGGTGGGGGAGTGGGGGGGAGGTCCAATCTTGGGACTTGAACTCTGAGTCTGGGCACTGTCCCTCAGCTCTTCAGCTCAAGGCCAGCATTCTACCACTTGAGCCACAGTGCCACTTCCAGCTTTTTTCTTTTTGCTTATGTGGTGCTGAGGAATCGAACCCAGGGCCTTGAGCATGCAAGGCAAGCACTCTACCACTGAACCACCTTCCCAGCCCTCATCCGCCTTTTTATTACAAACTTAGAATTTCTTAAATGAATTACATACTCAGAATTTATTGCATGCTCAGGACTGTTAATGAGAGATTATGATAATTACTATTACTATTAGTCTTTTCCTCTTTTCCACTCTTTGGGTGGAAACTGCAGACAGCTCCTTTGGTGTAAGTATTTCTGAGTTTAGGATGCACACCTCCATTTTTAGTGTTACAGCTCTGGGCTTTAGGTGCCAGTAGCCCAGTGCTCATCAGCTGTTGTTATAGCTCAAAGCTTTGAATGCCATGGGTCTGAGCTCTTTTTTTTTTATTATACACACACACACACACACACACACACACATACATTTATTGTAAAGATACTGTACAGAGGGTTACAGTTACACGAGCAAGGTAATGAGTCCATTTTCTATCAAGCATTGTTACCCCCTCCTTTGTTTTTTCCCCTACCATCCCTTCCCTGCCCACCTCTCCAACTCCTCCCTCCCCCACCAAAGTTGTAAAGTTAGTTTTCAACATAGTGTCTTGTATATCTCATTGTTGTTACAATGGGTTAGGCTGTCGCCTTATTTCAGCATTTTGTTATTTCCCTACCCCTCCCCAAATTAGAAAAATGTATATGCAAGATGCAGGACATGAGAATCAAATACAATGACAACAGGGATTATCCCATGGGGGAAGAACATACAAAAGAAGCAAAAAAAATCACACAGTTCATTATAAGTACATTAAAAAGAACAGCAAGAAAGATAAAAATCTCTTGTGTCCCTATCTTGGAGTTCATTTCACTTAGCATCTGCTTATATTGTCATATGTACATAGCTTTTCACTTTTTCTGTTTGTCCTAGACATATACTAGTTATTGCAGATAAGGGAAACCATGGGACCTATCTCTTAATGCGACAGCTCTGGGTAGCTTTCAGAAGCAAGAGCTAGCAACTCTCTACACCTTTCTGGAACTCTTAACCAAGACTTACAGCTCTGTCCAGTCTTAGCTCTGCTTGGTCTCTTGCTTTCCCCCTGTAGCCTTTCACCTTCTGCAGTCTGGAGTCTCAAGTCTCTGCCGGCTTTGGCCTTCTCAGCAGTCCTACAGGCCTTCACAATATCAGCCGTCCTCAGTCTGCTTCCAGCAGCTCTGGAACTCATCAGCTGTCTGTTAGCTAGTACAGGCTTGCCTGGGGCTGACAGCCCTGGAAGTTGTCTGGGTTTTGCATTACCTATTCAGTGCACTCTAATCATGATAAAGACTATAAGTAGAGACTGATGCCCATGCCCCTAACCCTAGCAACTCAGGAAGCTGAGATCT